CTTGGCCCCGCCCACCCGGCTCCCCGGCCACGCCCCTCCAGGGTCCAGCCCCCAGCGCCACAGCTCCCCTCCCCGCTCCCGGGAAAATTGCTGCAGGCGCCAGCGCCACCTGGTGGCAGGTCGCACTTACGACACCGTGCGCGCGCCCAGGGCGGGAAAAGGCTGCAGAAGAGAAGCCCACCACGGGGCAGGGCCCCCTCCGTGGGTACCGTGGGGCGGGCGAGGGAGGAGAGGGGAGGAAATGGGCCTCCAGCCCTCTTTAGGGCCTGGTTCGTTATCTCTAGCGCGCCTGTTATCTCCAGCCATGGGGCAAGTAGGTAAACTGAGGCAGAGCTGTTGAAGCAATAGTTAACAGGGACGCTTACCTCTGGTGAATACATCCATTAACTTCGGGGCTCTTCACCTACTCACCTGCGCACGCGCACAGCTCCTCACAGGATTGCTCATTCATTCATTCACTCAATTATGCATGTATGGATGTGTGTGTGTGCCAGTGCTGGTACTGGGGCTTGAACTCAGGGACCCATGTCCTTGCTTAGCTTTTTTGTTCAAGGCTGGCTCTCTACCATTTGATACACATCTCCACTTCCTGATTTTTGGTGGTTCATCAAGAGTCTTAACAGGTTGCCTACCTAGGTTGGCTTTGAACCCTGATCCTCAGATCTCTGCCTGAGTAGCTAGGATTATAGGCGTGAGGGACAAATGCCTGGTTATAAATTTGTTTTAGAGGAAAAAAGAAAGCCTCAAATGCTCTGATAAACACACACACACAGGGTTTTTCCTTTTTAGCACAGGTGTGATAACCTTAAGTCAAGTAGACAAGGGTTGTAATTATTTACCCCCCATTATCTGTGTGACCAGGAAAGTTCTTAAGTCTGTTTCTTCCTCTTAAGGAATGTGGCTGGAAGGTGGCGCAGTGGTAGAGTGCTTGCCTTGCATGCATGAAGCCCTGGGTTTGATTCCTCAGCACCACATTAAACAGAAAAAGCCAGCAGTGGTACTGTGGCTCAAGTGGTAGTGCACTAGCTTTGAGCAAAAGCAGCTCAGTAACATCTTTCTGTAAGAAAAACAAGGCTGTGAGCCAGTTAGCTCACATTTGTAATCCTACTTACTCAGAGGCTGAAGTGTCACTGTGGCTCAAGTGGTAGAGCGCTCGCCTTGAGTTGAAGAGCTGAGGGACAGCGCCCAGGCCCAGAGTTCAAGCCCCACAACCAACCAAAAAAAGAAAAAAACAACAACCCTGATGTCCCCCTACAGATGAATGGATCCATAAATTGTGGTACCTATATACAATGGAATATTACGCAGCCATTAGAAAGGACAAAAGAATGGCATTCGTAGGGAAATGAATGGAGCTAGAACAAATCATGTTGCGAGAAATAAGCCAAGATGAGAGACACAAACGGCACATGGTCTCCCTGATATACAGATGTTAAATTCAAAACCCAATGAGATATGACAAGGTAAATAGGCCTCAAGAAACAAAGACCCTCTTCTTAATTTGCCATGTAGTTTTTAGATGACTCTATATTCTTGACCCTACATATGGAATATACATGCGAGGAGGGCACAGAATCAGAGGGAAAAAGAGGGAAAACATCAACAGAGGAGATCAGCTGCACTGGGGATCAGCTGCACTGGGGATCAGCTGCACTGGGGATCAGCTGCACTGGGGATCAGCTGCACTGGACATCGGTGAAAACGAACTTAACAACTCATGGGTAGCGATGGGAGGGAGGGAATGGGAGGTAAAGAGGGAGCAGCTGACACTAAGCAAAAGGAAAGAAATGTAATAATCTCCTGATGTGGAAGAAATCATTGCATTGTCAAAGCTCGTAGAATTCACAAACTTTATAGACCATGATAATGACACTTTGCCTTATGAAGGTGAAAATGTGTTTGTGACTTTAGCTAAATATCACTATCCCACAATATTGTGACGTTTATATAATAATTAATCTCAATAAGGAAATTTTAAAAAAGATCCCAAACCAAAAAATTAAAAAAAAAAACAAAAAAACCAGTGAGATCGGCCTGAGTTTAAGCCTCAATTATAGGCAACGGAGAAAGAAAAGAAAGAAGAAATGGAAGAAGGAAGGAGAGATGGATGGAATGAAGGGAGGGAGGGAGGGAGAGAGAGATGTCCCTGGCATGCAGAGAATTTGATATACTGAATTAAATGATCTCATCACTACCGAAGTGGCAGGAGGCAGCTGCTCGCAGGGAAAGGATCTTTTGTGAATATCCGCTCGACATTTGTCGCCTCTTGCATTCCTGGATGGATGACAGTATCTGCTACCAAAGCTGATACCTCTGGGAATTTAAGAGGCAGCTTTTGTGTGGTACGAGAAGTAGAGGTTCTAGCTCTGAGCCACACGCCTTCAGCCCTGGACAATGGGAGACTCTTGGTGACTGTAGGGCTTCTAGAATAAAATCTAAATAGAACTCCAACATAATCTAGTGATCAAGAACCAGTTTCTTTTCTCCCTCCCTCCCTCTCTCTGGTCCTAGGACTTGAACTCAGGGCCTGAATGCTGTCCCTGAGCTTCTCAAGATGGTGCTCTCCAGCTAGGTGCTGGTGGCTCACGCCTGTCCCTTCTAGCTACTCAGGAGGCTGAGATCTGAGGATCACGGTTCAAAGCCAGCCTGGGCAGGAAAGTCAGTGAAACTCTTTTTTTTTTTTGGGGGGGGGGGGGGATCTGGTCGTGGGGTCTGAACTCTGGGCCTGGGCGCTGTCCCTCAGCTCTTCAGCTCAAGGCTAGCGCTCTACCACTTGAGCCACAGCGCCACTTCCAGCTTTTTTCTTTTTGCTTATGTGGTGCTGAGGAATCGAACCCAGGGCCTCAGGCATGCAAGGCGAAGCACTCTACCACTGAGCCACCTTCCCAGCCTGTCGGTGAAACTCTTACCTCCAATAAACCACCAGAAGAGCAGAAGCGGTGTTGTGGCTCAAGTGGTAGAGCGCTCGCCTTGAGCTGAAGAGCTGAGGGACAGCGCCCTGAGTTCAAGCCCCACAGCTGGCCAAAAAGAAAAAAAGGTACTTTTCCACTTGGGTGACCACACTGCTTCTGGCTTTTTGACAGCTAAGAGTCTCCTTCCTTCCTTCTTTCTTCCCTTTTCTTTTTTTTCTTTCTTTCATATTTTTTTTTTCTTCCTTTGTAGCCAGTCCTGGAGCCTGAACTCAGTCAGGGCCTGGGCACTGTCTCCAAGTTGCTTTTATTCATCAAGGCTAGTGCTCTACCACTTGAGCCACAACTCCACTTGACTTTTTCTGTGACATTGATTGGAGATAAGACTGTGGAGAACTTTTTTTTTGTCCGGGCTGGCTTTGAACTGTCATCCTCAGATCTCAGCCTCCTGAGTAGCTAGGATGACAGGCGTGAGCCGCCAGCACCTGACTTCTTCACAATTCTGTTTCTAGTTAATCTTTCCACACTTCCAACAAGGACCTCTGGATTTAAATTGTATTCTCAGCCAGGCGCCGGTGGCTCACACCTGTGATCCTAGCTACTCAGGAGGCTGAGATCTAAGGATCACAGTTTGAAGCCAGCTGTGGCAGAAAAGTCCCTGTAAGACAATTATCTCCACTTAAATATTCAAAAAACCAGAAGTGGCACTGTGGCTCAAGTGGTAGAGCGCTCGCCTTGAGCACAGAGCTCAGGGTCAGTCAGTGCCCAGGCCCTGAGTTCAAGCCCCACAACGGGCAAAACAATAAAACAAATCCTACTCTCACTCAATTGAGTCTCAGACACCCAAGCCCCAATCAAAGCAGACAAGACTCACAACAGTATTGCTTCTGAAAATCAGCCTTTTTAATAATCGATTTGAATTCAACAAGTGGGGAAAGATCTAAAACATGTATTTTTTTTTTTCCCTTAATATTAGCAACAGGTCCATAGAAGATGGACAATTACTCCTGTGTCCTCGGGTTAAAAAAATGAATTTTATTGTAATGCATTCACATGGATGTCAACTCAAGTGGGGGGGCCCACGCTGCCCGCCCCCGGCCCGCCCCTGCCCGCCCCCGGCCTCACCCGGCCACTAGTGACCCACGTCAAGGAACTCCTATGCAAAACGCAAAGCCCTTCGGAGCCCAAAGTGACGGATGGCAGAAGCCTCGAGCGCAGGCTGTAGATGAGCTCCCCTTCGTTACAAAAGTATGCAAAACACCTTGATATAAGCAGAAGAAGGAAATAATCACCATAGTAGAGATCGGCGGGGTGGAGAGCGCGGTTAAGACCCCCGGGATGGAGCTCACGCCTGGGCCACTGGCTTTCCCTTCCCGGACAACAGACAGAATAAAACAGGGAGGAAGTCGGGCGCCTGAGTCCCAGCGACTCGGGAGGCTGCGCCGTGAGGATCGCGGTTCAAAGCCAGCCTGGGCGGGAGAAGTCTGCGAGACCCTGATCGCCAAGGAACCGCCGGGAGGGGGCTGTGGCTCAGGCCCAAGAGGCTCAGGGCCAGCGCCGGGCGCTGGGTTCGAGCCCCAGGACTGGCAGGAAAAGGAGGGGTGTGGGGGACACAGGAGAGCGGGGGTCAGATGGGGAGCACGCGGGGGGGGGGGGGGGGGGCGCTGCGGCCGCCCCCGAGGGGCTGGGCCTGGGGGGAACCCCGGGACGGAGATGCCACAGCCAGCTGCGCGCCCTGCAGGAGGAGGGGGGCGGGGCGGGGGGCGGGGGGAGGGGGCCGGGGGGAGCAGGGGAGGGGGGGCGGGGGGCGTCCTGGTTAGCCGGAGCAGCTTCTCCCCCAGGAAATGCACAGAGGCCGAGGCACGTTGGTGGGGGTCCGGAGGAGGGAGGCTGAGGGCGGAGAGGCCCGGGGTCGGAGGCCAGGCTGGGAAGGTCAGGCCGTGAGCCTCCTTTTATCTCCAAGGAACCAGCAGAACCCCCGGGCGTGGAGGTGTGGCCCCGGCGGCACAGCGCCCGGGCTCCGAGTTCAAGCCCCAGCACTGGCGTTAGGAAGATTAACAGGAGATGCCCGGGGGGGGGGGGGGGGGGGGGGGGGGCTGGGGAGCCTCGGGTCCCCAGGGCGCGATCGCTGGGTCCCGACATGGGGGGCTGGGCTGGGGTGTCTCGGGCCGCGGGTCCCCGGGGCGCGATCGCTGGGTCCCGACATGGGGGGGCTGGGGAGCCTCGGGCCGCGGGTCCCCGGGGCGCGATCGCTGGGTCCCGACATGGGGGGCTGCGGGAGCGCGGCCGGGCCCGCCCCTGGCACGGGGGTGCCCCAGGGGAAAGGGCGCCCCGGGGCTCCGGGCAGGTGATCGAGGCCGCTGTCAGCAGAGGCGGGGGGCAGGTCAATGCATTTTGCCCAGCTGGATCTTCTTCCAGGCCTCCGAGGCTGTGAAGATGCACGAGTCCAGAATGCCGGCCACGGTGAAGGTGCCCCCGATGATGGCGCAGATCTACGGGGGGCGGGGAGGGCAGGGGCAAAGGTCACGGCTGGGGCAGGCACCCGGCTGCAGCTTCACCCGTCATACCCACTGCGCATGCCCGCGTGGACACCCCGGGCCCCATCATACCCACCGCGCATGCCCCGTGGACACGCTAACCCCATCATACCCACCGCGCATGCCCGCGTGGACACGCTAACCCCCATCATACCCAGTGCGCATGCCTGCGTGGACACGCTAACCCCATCATACCCACCGCGCATGCCCGCGTGGACACGCTAACCCCATCATACCCACCGCGCATGCCCGCGTGGACACGCTAACCCCATCATACCCACCGCGCATGCCCCGGTGGACACGCTAACCCCATCATACCCACCGCGCATGCCCGCGTGGACACGCTAACTCCATCATACCCACCGCGCATGCCCCGGTGGACACGCTAACCCCCATCATACCCACCGCGCATGCCTGCGTGGACACGCTAACCCCCATCATACCCACCGCGCATGCTCCGTGGACACCCCGGGCCCCATCATACCCACCGCGCATGCCCGCGTGGACACGCTAATCCCCATCATACCCACCGCGCATGCCCCGTGGACACGCTAACCCCATCATACCCACTGCGCATGCCCCGTGGACACGCTAATCCACATCGTACCCACTGCGCATGCCCCCTGGTCACCAACAGGGTACCCAGTGTTCTAGGACTCAAAGCCACTTGTCAACTGGACGCCCGTCAGCCTAGCCACGCAGGAGGCTGAGCTCTGAGGATCAGAGTTCAAGCCAACCTGGGCAGGAAAGTCTGAGACTCTGATCTCCAAGGAACCACCAGAAAATCGGAAGTGGAGGCGTGGCGCAAGTGGAAGCGCACCAGGCTTGAGTGGAAAGCTAAAGGAGAGCGCTCAGGCCCTGAGTTCAAGCCCCAGGACTGACACTGCCTGACACACACACACACACACACCAGCTCTTGTTGATGAACCTACTACTAATGAAGTACGTACGAGCCGGGCCCTGGTGGCTCACGCCTGTCATCCTAGCTACTCGGGGCTGAGAGCTGAGGATCTGGGTTCGAATCCAGCCTGGGCAGGAAAAGTTCATGAGACTTATCTCCAATCAACCACCAGAAAACTGGAAGTGGAGCTGTGGCTCTAAGTGGCACAGTGCTAGTCTTGAGGGACTTCAGGGACAGCACCTAGGCCCTGAGTTCAAGCCCCCATGACAGACAAAAACCTAAAACCTAATAATGATCCTCAGTGGAATAAATTACCCCCAATATCCTTTGATTCCCTGATTCTGCAGGAAGGGGGCTATTAGCTCCATTTTACGGGTAGGGAAACACTTCCCAAAGCCATGAAGTAAGGAACAGAGCTGGGATTTGAACTCAGGAAAGTCTTGAGACGCAGAGGGGGACAGCGACAGACATGCCACCACCGGAAGGGTGGGAAAGGTGTTGGGGCCTTCCCAGATCGCTCCTGGGTGCCAGGAGACATGGCAGAGACAAGAGGGCAGGGCAGGGCAGGGCAGGCGAGCTGGCATTTAGCCCGGATATTTTCATGCGATGAGCTCAGGCGGAGGCGGGGAAGGCCCAGGCCGGGACAGAGCCCGTCTGTGTCCATGGCTCCTAAGTAGAGCAGCTGGCATTCCAGTAATAACAAACCCAAGAGGTTGGTGCACTTTCTCACCCCCACCCCGGGGGGGAGTGGAGAGACTTGGGGGGGGGGGGCTGGAGGAGGGGACATGACTCAGGCGTACTCTGCAAAGAAAGGTGAGGGGGGGCGGGTTTATTTCGGGAGACATGGATCAGATGATGGGCGATTTTTATACCACAAAATGCTTTTAGGGCTTAGATCAGAGGAGAGGAAAATGTGACTGAAGGGCAGCAAAGCAAAAAAATAATAAAAATAGCCACACACGCATCTGTATTCATCTCCACAAAGCGTGCAACACGTGGTTGTAACTCAGGAACACCTGGCACCCAGGAGGAAAATGTCTTTTCATAGAGCTGACCCGGGGGTGGAGGGAAGAGCTTCAGTATGGAGGTATACAAGAAAACCCATCCTGTGGGGAAACTGAGGCCCCGGGAACGGGCCTAATCACAGAGAGGAGTTACAATTAGCTGTAAGGTTAAGCAGACCCTTTGTGGTGAGCTCCTGAATCTGTTATTTTTGCCAGTCCTGGGGCTGGAACTCAGGGCCTGGATACTGTCCCTCTTAGGTCAAGGTTGGTGCTTTACCACTTGAACCATACCTATACTCCCCGCTTTCTGCTGGTTAAATGGAGATAAGGGTCTCATGGACTTTCCTACCTAGGCTGACTCTGGACCATGACTTTCCAATCTCAGGCTGTTGAGTAGCTGGGATTACAGGTGGGAGTCTGTTGAAGGGACTGGCTTCGGGTGGATTGTGTATGGAAATGTGTGTATAGGGGGTAAATCCTGGCAAACTCCAATCCTAGCAAACCCCATCCAAAGACATCTCTGCTCCCAGGTTTCCTGATAGTACCATTTCCTTATTCTGGGGATATTTATTCTAAGACCCCATTGATGGGTGGAACTGCAGAGTTCCAAACCACACACATCTTGTTTTTCTTTTCTTTTCTGTGCCAGTTCTGGGGCTTGAACTCAGGGCCTGGGCGCTGTCCCTGAGCTTCTTTGGCTCAAGGCTAGCATTCTACCACTTGAGCCAGAGCTCCATTTCCAGCTTTTTCTGTGTCTGTGGTACTGAGGAATCGAACCCAGGGCTTCATGCATGCTAGGCAAGCACTCTACCACTAAGCCACATTCCCAGCCCCCACATCCTGTTTTTCCTAAGCGCCCAGGAGGTGCTACGACACGGTGGCTTTGCAGTCTTTCAGAGATTGGCTTACAGCCCTCTCATCCATGTGCCTCAGTTTCCTTATTTGTACGTATGGAGGGGGGAGCTTGAACTTGGGGCCTCATGCTCTCCCTTCGCTTTTTCACTTAAGGCTGGTGCTCTACCACTTGAACCACGCCTCCCATCCTGGCTTTTTGCTTGCTTGAGAGATTAAAAAGTATCATGGAGCCAGGCACCAGTGGCTCACACCTGTCATCCTAGCTACTCAGGAGGCTGAGATCTGAGGATCACCATGCAAAGCCAGCCAGGGCAGGAAAGTCCCTGTGACACTCTTACCTCCAACGAACCATCAGCAAACCGGAAGTGGGGCTGTGGCTCAAGTGGTAGAGCGCTCGCCTTGAGCTGAAGAGCTGAGGGACAGCGCCCAGGCCCAGAGTTCAAGCCCCACGACCGACAAATAAAATACTGTAAGGTTTATTCCCCACCCCTCAGGGACAAGGCCTGTCCTCTGGTCAAGCTAGGGTGGGGGTGGGGCGGGGGAGCTTTTTGTTAGGGGATGAGAAAAAGCGGAGCACTGAGGCAGGAAGAGACCCCAGGCAGGGCCTACAACCCCGGCCAGCAGCCACAGCGTCAGGGTGAAGAGCAGCACAGCTCCATCCGCAGGCTCCAGCCCGTCTGGAGAGGAGCACATTTAATTTGCATTCATCCCAGACTCATCAATTAGGTTCCTTCCAGAATGATCCAGTCACTTCCTTCCACAGCACTTCACAGAAGATCAGCTAGTGTTTTTCTTTTGTCTTGGCACGAGTCCTGGGGCTTGAACTCGGGGCCTGGGTGCTGTCCCTGAACTTTCTTTGCTTGAGATGAGTTGTGCTACCAGTGGAACCACAGCTCCACTTCTGGCTTTTTGTTTCGGTGGTTTATTGGAGATAAGAGTCTCATGAGCTTTCTTGCCCGGGCTGGCTTTGAACCTCCATCTTCAGATCTCAGCCTCCTGAGTAGCTAGGATGACAAAGGTGTTGAGTCCCAGTGCCCGGCTGCAGGGTTTTGGGGAGTTGGTGGTTTGTTTTCTGCCATGCTGGGAAGTCTTGGGTTTATCAGGCAAGTACTTTATTTCTCAGCTACAACCCCAGCCTGAATTATTAGGCTTTAACTATGGCCCTCGAAGTTGTTAGAACAGAGAAAGAGGTGTTTGGGGGAACACACTAGATAGAGACCTAGTTTCTAGTGTTTTCCACCAGCCCAAGAATCTTCCCAGACATCCTCATTCTGTGCATCAAGCACCAGGCAAGGCCGGGCACCAGTGCTCACGCCTGTAATCCCAGCTGTTTAGAAGGCTAAATCTTGAGGATCAAGGGTCAAAAGCCCAGGCCAGGCAGGAAAGTCTGTGAGACTCTAAGCTCCAATGAACCAGCAAAAAGTCAAAAGTGGAGCTGTGGCTCAATGGCTAAGGACCTGCCTTGTGTGAAAAGGCGAAGGAATCGGTGCCTAGGTCCTGAGTTCAAGCCCCAGGACCGACACACACATGAGAAAAAGAAGGATCAGAAACACCATGATGGGCAGGGCAGAGTGGCCTCCAAGCTGAATACTCCATGACCCTTGGCTGCCTCTGAGCCTCAGTTTCCCCCCCCCCTTCTACAACACAGGGTGGGGGAGGGCCGCGGGACTGGCAGCCCAGCCGGCCGGAGGGACCCTGAGTACCAGGAACTGCAGAGTGGCGTTCGGGGTTTGTGGAAAAGGCAGAGTCAGAGAAATAAATAATGAAGTCAGTCTCATCAGACACCGGCGGAGGCAGACAGGCTGGAGCCATGAATGAGAACACCCCAAAGAAAGAGAGGCAGGGGTGGGAGGGAGGCCGAAGATGGGGCCCCCAGAGAGAGCTGGGGGGGGGGCAGGAGAGGGATGGGGTGCTGATCTCCACCTAGTATATCCATCATCTCTATCACTAGCCGTGTGTGTGTGTGTGTGTGTGTGTGTGTGTGTGTGTGTGTGTTGTGAGGCTCCTAGGGCTTGAACTCGGGCCTGGGTGCTGTCCCCCAGTTTCCTTTTGCTCCAGGCTGGTGGTCTACCACTTGAACCACAGCTCTGCTTCCAGCTTTTTGCTGATTCGCAGTTGTGTGTATGTGTTTTCCCCTGCCAAGGCTGGCTTTGAAGCACAATCCTCAGATCTCAGCCTCCTGAGTAGCTGGGATCACAGGCATGAGCCACGATGTCTTCAGTGGCCACCCCTCTCTGCTCCTTGGAGAGCTCCAGCTTTATTGAGCATCTATTATGTGCAGATTTGGGATGGCATTTTCCTCCGTGTTTTCATTCAATCCTTGTGATCAGGAGCCAGACTGAGGGAGGAATTGGCTTGTCCAAGGTAACATGGCTACTAAGGATACAGGGGTCTTCAAACCCAGGCCTGAGAGTCAGTGGCGGGTCTGCTCTTGCAATTCAGCCTCTGCCCCTTCCATCACAGCCTGAACCCTCCCCTTCCTGCCTCTCCTTGTGTGAGGAGCCCTGCCAGTTACAATATCCGCTTCCTCACTTCTGTGAGCAGAGGTGAACATGGCATGCTAGCTCCTGAAACAAGGGATCTCCTCCTCAGAGTTTATCAAGGAAGAACCGGTGCAGCTACCCAGGAGGCTGAGATTTGAGGATCGTGGTTAAAGTCAGCTATAGCAGGAAAGTCTGTGAAACTCTTATCTCCAATGAACCACCAGATAACAGGAAGTGGTGCTGTGGTAGAAAGTGCTAGCCTTGAGCACAAAGAGGCTCATGGACAGTGTGCAGGCCCTGAGTTCAAGCCCCAGGACCAGTAAAAAAAAAAGTCTCATGGGCATATGCCTGTAACCCTAGCTACTCAGGAGGCTGAGATCTGAGGATCACAGTTCAAAGCCAACCCAGGCAGGAGAGTCCATGAGACTTTTATGTCCAATGAACCAGCAAAAAGCCAGACGTGGAGCTGTGGTTCAAGTGGTCAAGTGCTAGTGTTGAATGGAAACGCTCAGGGATGGTACCCAGGTCCTGAGTTCGAGCCCTAGTACTGGCAGGAAAACACCAGCAACAAAAACACCCACTAGCTTCTGGGCCGCTTTCAATGGGAGAATCCTATCACTTGATATGCTGTACTTTTGGTGGGCAGCAATTGCCACAGCCGGCCCACCCCAATTTTGGCACCTGGCGACTTCCCCCAGAATAAAACCCATCACGCAAGCCGAGAAAGACGACACACGTGTGAAGCCGGCCATCTGTCACCACCACCCACTTGAGGGAGATCTCAAAACAGGAGTTGCGATCAAGTGGCTGGGGACAAATGTGTGCGTGTGTGCGTGTGTGTGTGCGTGTGTGTGTGAGAGAGAGAGCAAGAGCGGCTGGCACTTGCCTGTTGTCACTTATAATCTCCCGATTTCTTTGGAGGAGCAATTTCCTGGCGGAGCGTAAAGTATAAAGTCTGCACAGGGGCAAGGCATGCTGGGTACGCAGAGGGGACCGTTACGCTGCTTGCGGGTTTTGGGTGTGGGGGGGGGAGGCATTTGCTCAGGCTGCACACCCCGGAATCCTTCAGGAGGGGTGCCCTGGTGAGGTCCCCCATACTTAGGACGTACTCTGTGCGGAGCCCACACCTGACAGGTTTGTCCCCAGCCCACCCACAGCGCATTCCCAGCCGCTCGGGTGCCACATGACCACACCCGGCTTAAGCCCTCTCTTCCATCCGCAGCCCCCACCCCCCCAAAGGCTATTTGTGGAGGACCCCCCACTCAGAGCTCTGCACGCAAGTGTTGACTTTATAAAAAGAGAAAAGTGGGGGGGGGGGCCAGCTGCAGGTTCCTGTGGTCAAGGCCCAGCCCCGCTCTCCCTCTGTGCCCTGCCCCCCCCCACACACGCACACACGCACGCACGCACGCACACACGCGCGTGTCTTGGTGCCAGTGTCATCTCTACATCTGCTGTCCTTGTGTGACAAGGGGCTTTGTAACTTCACAATGAGGCCATCTGTCGGGGCAGCCGGCTGTCTCTGCACCCCCCCCTCTCCCCCTCCTCCCATTGCCATAGCAACAAAGGGGCGGGGCGGTGGTTCAGGAAATCTAGCCCATAATGATGGAAGGTTTCTTGAGCCGCGGTGGGCGCACGTTGGATGGGGTGGAGATGGTGGGACTGGTTTGGGGACCAAAAAAACAAAAAAAAAAAAAAAAAAAAAGGGGGGGGGGAGCTAAAGGAGTCATGGGGTGTTTGGTCCCTGGGTGGGAGAGGGGGTCCTCCCGGGTGGCTTTGGGGAAATCTCCAGCTCCTCCAAGGTCAATGGCTGACCTTGGCTGGTTAGGGAGGCCAGCCTCTACGGAAGGAGGCTGGAGGACCTCCACGTGGACATCCCCGTCCCTTTCAGTGGGTCTGGGACCCCCCCCCTTCTCTGGCCTCACCACCTTCTTTTGGGGGAGCTTCCCAGACAAGGACTTAGGTGGGGGGGGCTTTTTTTGGACCCCCCCCACCCCTACTATAGAGCATGGCAGTCCTTTGGTGCTCCTTTTTCGAATCTTGCCCAAGTACAGGGTTTGGCCCATGGAAGTTTCTAGAATGGGAATTTCTACAGAGCATCAACCGTTGGGTACGTGACGTGGCTTCATTCCTCCACCATCTGCCAAGTGAACCCCAACGCTCTGGGGCTGAAGATGCGTTCCACACGGGGGCCAACGGGACAGGACGTGGGAGAGGGAGGGACCCTCACCCCACGGGGAGGCCCGGGCCAGGAAGATTCTGTCCCCAAGATGGCTCAGGCCGCACCTGCCCGGCCGGAAGCACTGGGGCAGCTATTTGTAGCTAAGCCACATAAAGAGAATGACAGGGAATCAGCTCCCAGAAACCCCTGGGATGGGCTGGCCTGGGGGATCTTGGGGAAAATCATTTGCTCATAAACCCTTGGCTTTAGGGGTCTGTGGAATAACTCCTAGTCTAAGTAGTTAGGATTCTAGGAATGAGGTATCACCCCCAACTTGATTTTTCTCTTAATGAATCCCTTTCTCTCACGTTCTTTGTCTTGGTGGTCTGGCTCCATTGGGATATATGCCCTAGGCCTCCACTTTCCAAATCAGAAAAATGGCGTGGGAGCTGAGCACTGGTGGCTCACACACGTGTAATCCTAGCTACTCAGGAGGCTGAGACCTAAGGATGGAGGTTCAAAGCCAGCCTGGGCAGGAGAGTCTGTGAGACTCTTATCTCCAATGAACCACAAAGAAAGCCAGAACTGGTGCTGTGGCTCCATGTAATAGAGTGCTAACCTTGAGCAAAAAGAGCTCAGGGACAGCGCCCAGGCCCCAAGTTCAAGCCCCAAGACCACCACCACCAACAACAACCAACAGTATGAATCCAAGCCAGGCGCTGGTGGCTCACACCTGTAATCCTAGCTACTCAGGAGGTAGAGATCTGAGGATCGCACTTCAAAGCCAGCCCAAATAGGAAGTCTGAGAGACTCTTATGTCCAATGAACCACCAGAAAACCAGAAGTGGTGCTGTGGTTCAAGTAGTAGAGCGCTCGCCTTGAGCTGATGAGCTCAGGGACAGTGCCCAGGCCCAGAGTTCAAGCCTCAGGATCAACAAAAAAGTAAAAGAAAAAAAAGAAAACTGACAGGTTCTCAAAGCTGCCCCAGAGAAAACCAGACAAGGTATACACAGCAGTCACAGATAGAGAAAGACAGAAAAAAAAAAAAATATGACAAATGTTTACTGCCAAAGAAACACAGAAAAGAATATATCTTGCTAAGAGTAATTTCCATATATTTTTTAAAGCTACTGGGTGGGGGGCTGGGAAGGTGGCTCAGTGGTAGAGCGCTTGCCTTGCATGCCTGAGGCCCTGGGTTCGATTCCTCAGCACCACATAAGCAAAAAGAAAAAAGCCGGAAGTGGCGCTGTGGCTCAAGTGGTAGAGCGCCAGCCTTGAACGAAAAAGCCAAGTGAGAGTGACAGATCCGGAGTTTAAGCCCCAAATACTGGACACACACACACGTAATAAAGTAACTGGAGAAAGCCAAGGTGTGCTTCAGGAGATGAATGCACTTAGTGGCACTGCCCCAACCTGGAAAATAAGATGCGGGAGAAACACCCTGGACACTGATGTCTTTCTTGTCCTATTTCCCAGCATCCCAGGGGCCCGGCGGCGCAGGCTGGGGGTTAACAAGGCCAGGCGGGCCCCGGGCACTGACCGTGGTGATGAACCTGTACACGGGCTGTCTTCGCTCCGTGTACTTGACCGTGATGGGGCTGAGGTCGTAGCGGAACCAGATCGCCGGGATGATGCGCCCAGTGTGGCTATAGGCGACATACTCCTGGAACAGAGGAAAGGAGGGGACATGAGAGCCAGAAACCGGGGCCCAGGCCTTCTGGAAAGTAGGGGGGGCCCAGGCGGCCCAGGGAGGAGGGGACCTTCTCCCTCACCCCACCCCCTTCGGATTCTGCCACCAGCAGCTCTTTGGGTAACACACTGGGGACATCTTGGACCCACTCTGCTATGGACAAGTTGACCCCGTGACCCGGAAGCAGTGTCAGAATCTCAGGCTGCATCTGATAGTAGAGGTACCCCCCCCCCCCCATAACTCGTGGGCTGCACAATGGCCATTCTGTCAGCGCCTCCTGGGTCTGGCTTTCTGGGGGTGATGGCTTCCCCAGAAAAGGCAAGCATATCACTGTCCCTAACGCTGCGACAGGGTGCATTTTGACAGAGGGACCCGGGGTGCAGACCGGGGCCGTGAATGGCCAATGCGGAAGGGACATTCTGAGCTTCACAGGACGGATACGCCAAGAGCCCTGCCCGTGCGGCGGTGTGCGCATGCGTGTTTGTGTGGCGCCCTGCGCGCAGCATGTGCGCATGCGTGCGTGCTTTGTAGCTGCACATGCGTATGAGTGCTGGCTACGTATGTGCTTGTGTGCCTGCACTCGCGCATGCGTGCATGCCAGGATAAGCACAAAAGCCACGTGGGAATGAGTAGAGGGGCTGAAGAGTGTGTCCATGCGTTAGTCTCTGTCCTCACGGGTCAGAAATGATGACCAGTAGCCCCTGTCCAGTCTGAGAACTTCTGGGAGCTCCCTCTAGTCTACTGTCCCTTTTCTCCAATAAGGGGAGACCCACACTGGGGTACCCCAGCCCCAAGGGCTGGGCCTGGGCCAGCTCAGGTTGCTCTCAGGGACAATGCTGAGATCTGATCGCTGCTTTTTGCTTACAGGGCAGACGGGGGCCTGCCCCGGCTCTCTAGGGCCTTGGGGGAAGAATGCTCAGCTTAGCTTTCTCTAGGAGAGCGGAGGGTAGGGTGACTATGGACAAAGAAAGCATGAATTAATAGCAGTAATATTAAGTGTCACTCTATCTTCCTTTCTGGGCTCAGCATTTTTTTAAAGCATCGTCTCATTGGACAGCCATCTTATTTATTTGCTCATTCATTTATTCAGTTATTTTGTGCCAGTAGTAGCTCTTTTTTTTTTTTTTTTTCTTTTACTGCTGATGTTGTTTGCAGGGCTTGACCTCTGAACCCGGGCAGTGTCCCTGAGCCTCTTTGTGCTCAAGGCTGGCATCCTACCACTTTGAGCCACAGCACCACTCCTGGTTTTCTGATGATTCACTGGAGATAAGAATCTCATGGACTTTTCTGTCTGGGCTGGCTCTCAACTCTCATTCTCAGATCTCAGCCTCCTGTGTAGCTAGGATGACAGGCGTGAGCCATTGGGCCTTGAACTCAGAACCTCGCACTCTCCCTGGGCTTTTTTTTTTGCTCAAGATTGGTGCTCTGCCAGTTGAGCCACAGCTCTACTTCCTGCTTCTTGGTGGACATGAGTCTCACAGACTTTCCTGCTCTGACTGGATTTGAACTTCAATTCTCAGATCTCAGCCACCTGAGTAATTTAGTGGTAGAGTGCTAACCTTGAGCAAAAGAAGCTCAGGGGTTGGGCTGGGAATGTGGCTTAGTGGTAGAGTGCTTGCCAAGCATGCATGAAGCCCTGGGTTCGATTCCTCAGTACCACATACACAGAAAAGGCCATTAGTGGTTTTGTGGCTCAAGGGGTAGAGTGCTAGCCTTGAGCAAAAAAGGCTCAGGGACAATGCCCAGGCCCTGAGTTCAAACCCCAGGACTGGCACACGCGCACACACACATACACACACACACACACACACACACACATACACACACACACACACTAATGCTACTCAAACTATCCTCAGAATGAAATGGGATCTTTCTCAAATGCATGGCTTCTGGCTCTTGGCTGCTTTTGCTTACACAGCTCACACCCTCAACTCCTGGTTAGATTTTTCTCCCCTGGATTCTGTTGCTATCCTAAACAGCAAGGATCAGATACTTCATTTTGTCAAGGCCGGACAGAAACTGCTCTTGTCCTCTCGTCCTCTGCCAGCAGGGGGCGCAGCTGCACAGCCCAGGCCTGGCGCACCCACCTTGTTGGCCACCGTATACTGGTAGGAGTACCGCTGCTTGCCACTCTTGTCTTCATACACCGTGGGCACGATCTTCAAGATGTAGTCGTGGGAGGCCAGAGCTGTGGAAAGGGCACAGGAAGAGGCGGGAGAAGATGGGCCTGGCCCCGCCCACAGGCATGGCATGGGGGCGCCTGCTCCCATTTTCACCAGCAAAGATGATCCATCTTCAACTTCTCCCCGCCAGTGACCGAGAATTTCCTCCCGCATGTACAGAATTATTACAACTCTGGAAATAACCCAAATGTCTATCACCAAGGCAAAACCGTGAGTGTGAGGGGAGAAAAAGAAAACGAAAAGAAAAAGGCAAAAAATAAAAAATAAAAAACCACAGCCAGGCGCCAGTGGCTCACGCCTGTCATCCTAGTTACTCAGGAGACTGAGATCTGAGGCTCATGGTTCAAAGCCAGCCTGGGCAGAAAAGTCCCTGTGAGACTGTTAATGCCAATGAACCACTCCAAAATCAGAAGTGGAGCTGTGGCTCAAGTGGTAGAGCACTAGCCTTGAGCACAAAGAGGCCCAGCGCTCATGCTCTGAATTCAAACCCCACCAACCACCACCACCACCAACAAAAAACCAGACAACCTAAGCTACTGAAAAAGGGTAGGAGAAAGGCATTGCTAGTATGTGTGGATAGGTGGAATTATGAAAGATCTCCTAGGAAAAGCTGAGCCTCAACTTCTGGCAAGAAAGGCATTTGAGAAAGATCCCCTTTCATTCTGAGGATTGAGTAGCATTAGTTTTTTTTGTGTGTGTATATGTGTGTGTGTGTGTGTCTGTATCTGTGTCTGTGTGCACCAGTCCTGGGATTTGAACTCAGGGCCTGGGCACTGTCCCTGAGCTGCTTTTGCTCAAGGCTAGCACTCTACCCCTTGAGCCACAGGGCTACTTCTGGCTTTTTCCTGTGTATGTGGTACTGAGGAATTGAACCCAGGGCTTCACGCATGCAAGGAAAGCACTCTACCACTAGGCCACATTCCCAGCCCAACCCCTGAGCTTCTTTTGCTCAAGGTTAGCACTCAACCACTTGAGCCACAGCACCACTTCTGGCTTCTTTTCCATGTTGAGTGAAGATAAAAGGGTCTCAAGAGACTTTCCTACCCTGAGATCTCCGTCTCCTGAGTAACTAGGATGGCAGGTGTGAGCCACCAGTGCCCAGAAAGTAGCCATTACTTTTAAGACAAACTGGCTGTCAGTTCTATTGTATGGGGCTTGAACTCAAGGCCTCACCTTCTCCCTTAGTTTTTTTATTCAAAGCTAGCTTTGTACCACTTGAGCCACACTTCCAATTTCGGGGGGGGGGGGGGGGGGGGGGGAGGGGGAATGTTTTTTTCTGGTTCATTGGAGATAGTCTCACAGACTTTCCTCCCCTAGGCTGGCTTTGAACCTCAATTCTCATGCCCCAAGCCTCCAGTATAGCTAGGATAATGGGTGTGAGCTCCAGGCGCCCTGAGGCTTTCAGTGTTAAAGAGGAGCTCATCCATCGGTGGGAAGAACTGCGGAGATCTGTGATCCATTGCTTTCCCCTTTGGCAGAGTGACCCACACTCCCCCTCCATCCTGGAGCAGCTCATCTCCCTTCCAGAATGAATGGGGGGGGGGGGGGGGACGCAGGAACTGGGCCTTACTCACCACCCTGTCCACAAAGCCCTGCACGGGGCCTGGTACGGCGTGGACAGTCGCAAATGCTTCTTGAATGAATGGACGCATGGAACAATGACTGGACAAAGCCATGAATGGGCCAGGAATCCATGAATCAGCCTCTGATAAGTGTGAAGTAACGGGAACTGAACACCAGGCTGATTGACCGAAGATCGGCCCAGCGCTGCCGGATCCCAGTGGGGAAAAAGCCCGAACTCTCCCGTGGGCCTTGGGGGATGCTGAGAAGCGCGGAGGAACCTTCTACCATGCCTTTCTAGAATCTTCCAGGGAACCCACAGAGCGAAAGCAACAGGGAAATGCCGGCCTGCGGGTTTAAATCCTGCTCTCCTTGAATCTGCTCTTTCCTCAAACACTCATCTGTCAGAGGGGTGGGGGCAGAGAACATTCCAGACTCTAGCCCAATCCCTTCCTACCTCTTTGTGGCTCTTGCTGAGTCTCCTCTGGAGGGGAAAAATATTTCTAGAATCCGGTTGGATAAATCTGGGAAAAACCTGGAGCCTCAGGGCTAAAAGCCTGGGGAAGACTTCAACACACCTTGTTCAATACCATAGACCTAAAACATAGACCCCAGGCCTCATTCCTCAAGGGTCTCTCGCTCAGGGGTCCGGGTGGGGCAGCACCCTTATTTTAAATCAGGAGTCCAAAGACTCCCCTTGACATAATGAAAGAATGAATGTCTTACCAAAATCACACTTCTAGACTATGATTGTTAGAATCTGTACAGGCCGGGTACCGGAGGCTCACGCCTGTCATCCTAGCTACGCAGGAGGCTGAGATCTGAGGATCACAATTGGAAGCCAGCCCAGACAGAAGAGTGTGTGAGACTCTTATCTCCAATGAATCACCCCCAGAAAGCCAGAAGTGGGATTCCATTGGTTGAGTGCTAGCCTCGAGCACAGAGCTCAGGGACAGTGCCCAGAACCTGAGTTCAAGCCCCAGGACTGGCACAAGTGCATGAGTGCATGCACGTGCGCACGCACACACCACACACACACACACACAACACACAACACACACACACAGAGGCTGCCTTTTACTTTTTTTTTGGTCGGTCCTGGGAATTGAACTCTGGGCCTGGGCGCTGTCCCTGAACTTTTCAGCTCAAGGCGAGTGCTCTACCACTTGAGCCACAGCACCACTTCTGGCTTTTTTCTGTCTGTGGTTCTGAGGAATCGAACCCAGGGCTTCATGCATGCTAGACCAGCACTCTACCACTGAGCCACCTTCCCAGCCCAAGTAGCTGCCTTCTATGAAGCTCTGATATATTGCCCAGACCACTTTCTTCCTCCCATATGGCAGGGATTAAGTACATTCTCCTCCCCTCCCCCTGTGCCTCCTCTGGGCAGACTCCAGGGGGAAAACGCCGCTTGGAGCTGGGGTACTTACGGTTAGAGCTGAGTCTGTCTGCGCCCCCAAGAGCATTGAACGCACCGTGGACATTCTGCACCTGCAGAGAGGAACGGTGAGGGAGGGGATGGGGGTGTGTGGTACCTCCAGGCCAGCCCTGCTGTGGGGGGCTGGCCAGGTGCTCCCCACCCTGGGGATCCCTTCCTCAAGGGTGACACAGGGGTCCAGAGGGGTTTAGCTCATAGAAAAGCTGCACAGAAAGCGGAGAGCCTGGGGCTCACGCCTGTCACCCTAGCTACTCAGGAGGCTGAGATCTGAGGATCGCGGTTCAAAGCCAGCTCAGTGAGACTCTAATCTCCCATGAGCCACCAGAAAACCAGAAGCGCTGTGGCTCAAAATGGTAGAGCACTGGCCTTGAGTGAAAAAGCTCAGAGACAGTGCCCAGGCCCCGAGTTCAAGCCCCACCACCAACAGCAAAATAAATAAAGAGGGAAAAAAATGTGCAGATCCAGAGCCGGTGAGGCAGGTAGCGGGCAGGACCTAGTCTGCTGGCTTTGTGCCACCTCATTTAATGCAGCTCACGGCACATCCTTGGACACCCCCTTTATTTTTTGGTGCCAGTCCTGGGGTTTGAACTCAGGGCCTTGGGTGCTGTCCCTGAGCCTTTTCACTCCAGGCTAATACTCTACTGCTTGAGCTACTGCTCCACTTCCGGTTGTCTGGTGGTTCACCGGAGGTAGAGTCTCATGGGCTTTCCTGCCCAAGCTGCCTTTGAACTGCAGTCTCTGCCTCCTGAGTAGCCGGGATTACAGGTGTGAGCCACGGCTCTCGGCATCACCTGGTTTGTCACACAAAATTCCCTTAGGAGGCTGCTTGGGATTCAATCTCCTGGCCTCCAACCCAAGGAGTCTTCACAGCTGCTTTGTGCAGTGCATAGAGGAATGGGGTCCCCAGCTCTGGGGTTCCCATCCCGTCTCCACTTGGGTCTTTCAGCGGGCTGCGCGGGGCTCAGGGTTTTCAGGATGGCCAGCGGCTGGATACTGGACAAGTCTGCTGCCTCCCTGAGCCTTTCCTGTAAAACGGGCCCAAGGGCTGGGTGCTGGGGGCTCACGCCTGTCATCCTAGCTACTCAGGAGGCTGAGATCTGAGGATTGTGGTTCAAAGCCAGCCTGGAAGGGAAAGTTCGTGAGACTTATCTCCAATCAACCAGCAAAAAAGCCAGAAGTGGCGCACTGTGAGCTACATAACCTTCTATATATTAACAACTACCTAGACTCTGGCAGGCGCTCAGAGCCACGGAGGAGCCGTGGAAAGGAGAGGGATGGCTCTGGAGCCATATACACCTGGCCCCCAAGATGGATTCAGGTGATGAAGCAGAGCCTCCGCCGGGCGGCCCTCCCCAGGCCCACCACTCACCTGCAGCGTGTCCCCAAAGGAGAGCTTGTGGATGGCGTGGGTCATGTCTGGGTTCTGCGGCTGGGCGGTGGCGCTGTGTGTGGACACGTGGAAGTTGCCAGGGACCTGGGAAAGGAAGGTGGGTGTTGTCAGGAAGGGGATGGACTGCAGGTACTGCGTGATCCAGGCACGCAGCAGACACCAGGGTCAGAGAGAGAGAGAGAGAGAGAGAGAGAGAGAGAGAGAGAGAGAGAGAGAGAGAGAGAGAGAGAGAGAGAGAGAGAGAGAGAGATGGGCTGGGACCCTGGCTGGTGGCAGCTCCAGCTGGATGACACGGAGGAAATGCCGTCTGTGGGGGGGTTCTCAGTTACAGAGTGGGGGGGGGGGGGGTACCTCACCACAGCCATGGGGGGCTGGGCCAAGCCAGCGCGAGGGCACAGGGTGAAGAACCCACCAGGGCCAGTGGCACGAGGTAGGACCCAAGGGGCTCAGCTCAGATCATACATCACCCCTCTCCCCCGTGGGGGAGGGAAGGGGGGGAGGACGGGGAAGCGGGGGAGGGGGGGGAGGACGGGGAGAGGCAGAGGAGCTCATCACCAGCCATGGGAGTGGGGAGGAGCATGCCAGGGGCAGGCGTGTCAGCGGAAGACCCTCTCCCTCCTCCCCCTCCCCGTGTCCCTCCTCCTTTCCTTCCCCCCCTCCTTTTCTTCTCCTCCCCCTCTCCCCCGCCCTCTTCCTCCTTCCTTTGTCCTCCCCCCCTCCCCCCCTCCATCCCAGAAGCCCCATGGGTAGCACAGGCACCTCCCCCCCTTCCATCCCCATCCTGGGGTGCAGGATCTCAGGGGCCCCAGTGTGAACCCCTAACTCACCTTTTCCTGTCCCAGCCCAGGGCAGCAGCCATGGTTTCACCCCCATCCCCAGCCTGGCTGCAGCTCAGCGCCGACCCCCCCAAGGCCTGGACCCCCGTGTGGATTAGCGTCTGCCCCCCCCCCCAGTTCCCACGCTGGGCTGGGGCCTCCCCGGAGGGGGCCCCCACTCCCGCAAGCTGCCCTCGGGAGGGATTCCCGTGGTCGTTGTGTTAGGAGGACTTCCAGCCACGCGATGCCACCTGAGCTAAGGAAGCCTCATTTCTTCCTGGGGTGTCCCGCCTCGAGGATTTCATTACAGCAAGGGAGAAAATGAAGCCACTGGCCCCGCCCTCCCACTGTCACCTGCGTTCACACCCTCCCAGCCAGAGCTGGCGCAACATGCCCCCTGCAGAACAAGAGGCCTGCCTCAGTGGGCCCTCAGTGCCTGTCCCGTCCTTCTGAATCCCCCCCCCCCCCCCGGCTTTCCGGCCTTCCCCCTTACAGCTGCGTTTGCCTGTCCTCCCAGAGCCCTTCCCTCAACACCTGTCTAATACCAAGCAACAACAGAAAAAGCGATTGGCTGTCATCCCCCCAACCCGCCAGCTGCTGGGCACGGCCCACCCATTTCCGCTCATGAGTTTCTTCTGCTTCCTGCTGCTAGAAAGGAAGCTGCAGGCCGGTGGGTTCTGTCTGCTGTGTCCTGATACGTTCTCTAGCCACCCCGAGTCATAGCAGGTGCCCCGTTAATGGAGGAAGGAGCAAGACGTGTCATCTTTTAGCCCTTAGTACCAGACATGGTGCCAGGCTTAGAGAAAGAACACAGACATGAGCCCCGCCCTGGGTAAGGACCCTATGTGTGACACAGACTGAGGACTGAGAGACCGGGGGATCTGCACTAGTCTGGGATCTGCACTAGGAAGGCCGGGAAAGGTACCTGAGGAAGAAGGAACAGCATGTCTTCAGAACTAACTACATGGCTGGGAAGGTGGCTCAGTGGTAGAGTGCTTGCCTTGTACGCATGAGACTCCTGGTTCGATTCCTCAGCACCACACACACAGAAAAAGCCGGAAGTGGCGCTATGGCTCAAGTGGTAGAGTGCTAGCTTTGAGCAAAAGAAGCTCAGGGACAGTGTCCAGGCTCTGAGTTCAGGCCCCAGGACTGGCAAAAAGAAAAAAGAAAAAAAAAAAAAGAACTATTCATAAGAGTTTATACTTGTAGCTCATGCTAGCTACTCTGGAGGCCGCTGAGACCTAAGGATCAAGGTAGGTTCGAAGCCAGGCTGGGCAAGAAATGTCTGCGTGAGACTCTTACCAACAATCACTGAAAAAGTGGTAGAGCACTAGTCTTCAGCAAAAGTAGTTCAACCCCCCAGCACCTGAACAAAACAAACAAAACCAAACAACAACAAAAACCCCAAGGCCATCCATGTGGTCCTTATCTTGCCAGAATTTTCCTATGCAGTGATCAGGCATGGGTGGGACTTGGGTTGGGGACCCCGGCCCCCTGCTTCCATCCACGATAAAAGTGAATGAAGCCAGGTGCTGGTGGCTCACACCTGTCATTCTAGCTACTCAGGAGGCTGAGATCTGAGGATGCAGGTTCAAAGCCAGCCTAGGCAGGAAAGTCCGTGAGACTCTTATCTCCAATAAACCACCAGAAAACTGGAAGTGGCGCTGTGGCTCAAGGGGTAGAGTGCTCGCCTTGAGCTGAAGAGCTGAGGGACAGCGCCCAGGCCCAGAGTTCAAGCCCCAGGACTGACAAAGAAAAAAAAAGTGAAGGAAGAGCAAGCTCTGTCTTGAGCACCTGCCCCCAAGCCCCGCCCCCGGGGCCAGGACTCAGTTATCTGCATGCTGGCTGGCTGGCTGCCTGCCTCCCTCCCTCCCTCGTTCCCTGGGCTAGAAGAGTCCTTGCAGGTGGCTGAGTCATGTCGGCACATACTGTGTGCAGAAGAAAGGAAAAAAAAAAGGACGATGCTTTTAGAGCCTGTGACGTAGGCCTCTACGTCAGTGCCTCTGATGGATTTAAGAAACACACTGCTGGGGTCAGCCCCCCCGCACCCCATCCCCGGAGGGTGAGGTCTCCTCCCCGCTGGATACAGCCGGAGGCGAGAACGCACGTGTGGCTGTGGGCTGATCGGGGTGATGGCCATCCCGGCTGCCAGCAGCCATCGTGACTGGAGTCCTTACCCAGCACGGCTCCCCTTCACCCCCAAAGGAGGGAGAGTGGGTGCGGACAGAGGGTGGCTGGAGCCACACTGGTTCAATGGCACTTGAAAACCATGTTTAAAAGAAGTAGATGCACGGCTGGGAAGGTGGCTCAGTGGTAGAGTGCTTGCCTTGCATGCGTGAGGCCCTGGGTTCGATTCCTCAGTACCGCATACACAGAGAAGGCCGGAAGTGGTGCTGTGGCTCAAGTGGTAGAGTGCTAGCCTTGAGTGAAAGAAGCTCAGGGACAGTGCCCAGGCCCTGAGTTCAAGCCCCAGGACTGGCAAAAAACCAAAAAGAAGTAGATGCCACCTCTGCCACTCTGCTGCACTGCTACTCAGGAGGCTGAGATTGAGAATCACAGTTCAAAGCCAGCCCAGGCTGGAAAGTCTTGTGAGACTCATCTCCAATGAGCCACCAAAGAGCCAGAAATGGTGTTGTGGCTCGAAGGGATAGATCATCAAAAAAGCCAGAAGGGGAGTTGTGGCTCAAGTGGTAGAGCACTAGCCTTGAGCACAAAAGCTCAGAGACACCACACAGACCCGAGTTCAAGCCCCAGCACAGAAAAAGAAAAAAAAAAAGAGAGAATCAGATGCAGGGTTGAGCACCTGTGGCTCCTGCCTGTAATCTTAGCTACTCAGGAGGCTGAGTTCTGACGATCATTGTTCAAAGCCAGCCCAAGCAGGAAAGTCTGTGAGACTCTAATCTCCAATGAACCACCAAAAAGCTGGAAGTAGAGTGACTCACATTAGCCTTGAGCAAAAAAGGTTAGGGACAGTGCCCAGGCCCTGAGTCCAAGCCCCAGGCCACCCACCCACCCACCCACCCACCCACCCACACCCACACACCCCTGAACATGATTCTCTAGCAATGCATCAAATAATAAAACCTAGGGGAGGTGAAATAACTTGCTTACAAAGGAAGGATGAGCATACAATGTCTTTGCAAGTGTTTTGCAACCTTTTGAATAATATATAAATTCAGCAATTTCTCCTGATGGAAAAAAACCTTGGCTTACACTATTCCTGCTCAATGTCTACAGCCGAAGGAAATGCAAAGTGGACTTTGAGCTTAGAAAGAAAAGAAAAGGAGAGAGAGAGAGAGAGAAAGAAAGAAAGAAAGAAAAAGACAGACAGACAGACAGACATAATTCTTGCCCCTTGTCCAAGTTCCCGGATCCCTGAAGTAGTTCAGGGGGTGTCTGTCAATCAGCCTCACGCTGTTTGGGGGTGGCGGGGGACCCCAGGACTGCGATGAAGCTCCCAGCCTCTGTCAGCTCGCTGAACACCGCTGCTTCTCCAGTGGGATCAGAAACTCTGGGGGGCTTGTTCTACTAGGGCTCAGGAGGCCGGAAGTGGGGGCCGAAGTGGGGGCCTGAGCCCTCCTCCCCATGTCTCCTGCCCTCAGCGCTCCTCCACTGGCTCCCACATGGACGCCCGCAGCTCCACAAAATCGCCTCCACTGGAACATCTCCCGGACACACCACTGATGAGAACCCTAAATGAACCCCAGGACAATCATCTGATGGCTGCCACCTCCTTCCCCACAACCTCTGCCTTCCCGAGTCATCACAGCCACAACGTGAAGACACCCGGATGTCACTGCAAAAATGGCTTCCTCCAGTTAACGCCTGTGTTCATCCGCCACATCCAACTCATGGGCAAGCCCTGCTGACGCTCCCTCCCCGTCCAACCACTCGGCCCACTGTCTGCCATCACTCCAGTCCCCACCAGCTACCCAGAATGCCTTTCTTTTCCTTTCCCTTCTCTGCCTTTCTTTCCTTCCTTCCTCCCTTTCTTTTCTATTCCAACCCTGGGGCTTGAACTCAGGGCCTGGGTGCTGTCCTGTAGCCTTTTCACTCGAGGCTGGCGCTCTACCAGTTGAGCCACAACTCCACTTCTAGCCTTTTGCTGGTTATTTATTTGGGTCCGGTCATGGGATTGAACTCTGGGCCTGGGCGCTGTCCCTCAGCTCTTCAGCTCAAGGCTAGCCCTCTACCACTTGAGCCACAGCGTCACTTCTGGCTTTTTTCATTTTTGCTTATGTGGTGTTGAGGAATCGAACCCAGGGCCTCATGCATGCCAGGCAAGCACTCTACCACTGAGCCACCTTCCCAGCCCCTCTTGCACAGCTGGGCTTATAGGCAAACGCCACCGGCTCCAAGTGGGACTTGTGATGGTTTAGCTTTAGGTCAGATGTGTTTAGACTGTACGTGCCCATGCACCACCTGTCTCTAAGGTAGACTTGGCCAGGGGATTGGTTATTTCTGCTCACGTGTCAAGGGCTGGGGGAAGGAGGGGAGGAGCCATGAATGACCAGTGATCCTGGGACTAGGAAGTGGAGACACAGGATGTCAGGGCTGTGTGACCTTGGGGGAGGTACTTAACCTCTTTGGGCCCCAGCTTCCAGTGGGAAGCTTCATGTGTCCAGAGCTGAGCAGAATGCTCAGTGCCCTGGCCATTCATGCCCACCCCTGGCGGGAAAATCAGCCAATAACAGATGGGGTCCTTTGGAGCTGATGTCCCCCCTCCTCATACCTCCCCTGCTTTGCCCCCCCAACTCACCCCTCTGAAATGCCCTCAGCATGCACACTGCCACCATCCATAAACAGAGCTCTGCGGGTGGGTGCCAGTGGCGCACGCCTGTCCTCCAAAGCAACTCAGGAGGCTGAGGTCTGAGGATCCTGGTTCAAAGCCAGCCAGGGTAGAAATCTCCGTGAGACTCATTCTCTCCAATGAGCCAGCAGAGAAGGTGGAAGTGGAGGTGTGGCTCAAGTGGTAGAGCGCTAGCTTTGATCGAGAAAGCTCAGGGAGGAGTGTGAGGTCTTGAGTTCAAGCCTCAGGAGCGACACAAAAAGGAATGAGTGAATGAATGAATGAAAATACAAAGCTGCCGGGCGCTGGTGGCTCACGCCTGTCATCCTAGCTACTCAGGAGGCTGAGATCTGAGGATCGAGGTTCAAAGCCAGCCCGGGCAGGAGAGATCGTGAGACTCCTATCTCCAATAAACCACCAGAAAACCGGAAGTGGCGCTGTGGCTCAAGTGGTAGAGCACTTGCTTTGAGCTGAAGAGCTGAGGGACAGCGCCCAGGCCCAGAGTTCAAGCCCCACGGCCGACCAAAAAAAAAAAAAAAAAAAGAAAAGAAAAGAAAATACAAAGCTGTACCATCTGCTGACCACCCTGTGACTAGCACCCCTCTGAATGTGGGAATCTCAGATGAGTGAATGAATGAATGAATGAGTGTGTAGTAGCTCACTGAATCCCCACTCCACATCAAAGAAGGGAAGCCTTGGCTCAAGTGACTTGGGACACATTCCTGGGCCAGCAAGAGAGGAGCGTAGCACCCAGTCTCCCCCTCAACATGGGGCGAAGATCAGCCCCGGTGCACTGTGACACCCCCAGAAGCTGGAGCTGCATCTGAGAGTCTCAGGGGAAGAGCCAGGGCTGGACTCTGCCCCCTGCTGGCCGCCAGGGTGGGAGTCAGGGGTCAAGGGCACAGGTCCATCGCCTGGGGATGGGCGGGCGGGAGGAAAGGCAGGAGGGGGCGGGTCACCATACCTTGTTGATGCTGAACTGGCCCTCGAAGCGGCAGCCCGCCCCGTTGTTCAGCGGGATCTTCATGGAGTTGTCGATGTGGCCCACCTCGTGCCGGCCCATCTCATCCTGGATGTCCAACCCGACCACTGTGGACGCCAACGGAGCGGTATGAGGCCCGGCCCTGGCGTGCCAAGATGCCACGCCCACACCCACCAGCATAGGATGGGAAGGAAGTCAACCAGCAGAAGAGAGCCAAACACCCCCCCCCACACACACACACACAAATATCCCCATTCACCAGGAAAGCCCTGCCCATGGCCGGACAGAGAAAGCAGAGGTTCCAGGAACTGGGGGGTCCTCGGGTATCTGAGTCCCGATCTGCAGTTAACCAGCTGAAAGGACTTCTTAACACCCCCCACCTCAGTATATCTCTCTGTGAAATGGGAACGATCAAAATGCAACATGCCAGCTGGCTGCTTGTCATCCGAGCCACTCAGGAGGCTGAGGATCGTGGTTCGAAGCCAGCCTGGGCAGGAAAATCCATGAGGCTCTTATCTCCAATGAACTGCCAAAAACTGGAAATAGTGCTGTGGCTAATGTGGTAGAGCGCTAGCCTTGAGCCAAAAAAAGCTCAGAGACAGCATCAGAGGCCCTGAGTTCAAGCCCCACAACCAACAAAAATAAATACAAAGCCCCAGCCAGGCCCACTAGTAGCTCACGCCTATAATCCTAGCTAATCAGGAGGCTGAGATCTGAGAATCGAGGTTCAAAGGCAGCCCAGGCAGAAAAATCTCTGAGACTCTGATCTCCAATTAACCACCAGGAAACTGGAAGTGGCGCTGTGGCTCAAAGTGGTAGAGCGCTAGCTCTGAGCAAAAAGAGCTCAGGGACGGAGCCCAGCCCCGAGTTCAAGCCCCACAGCAGACAGAACCCAAAAACCCACAAATGGAGCTGTGGTTCAAGTGGCAGAAGACCAGCTTTGAGCAAAAAAGCTAAGGGACAACACCCAGGCTTGGAGTTCAAGTCCCAGAACTGGCCAAAAATAAGAAAATAAAAATGAAAAAAAGTATGGATGAGATGAAAGAGAGTATGGATGTAGTAGTGAAGAGATCTAGAAAATGTTTAGAACAGAGATTGATGAACAGTAAGTAAAAAGAATAAACAGTGAATCTTGAACTCTCAAGCTGGGGGAGTGTGTGGGGGGAGACGGCTTCAGCATTCATTCATTCATCATTCATTCGTTCACCACTTCCATTCACACACCTTCCCTTCCCCAAAGCCTCTTTCTCCCAAGGCCAGGGAGACACACCCTGAAGAGACCGGCCACTGGCTGCCTCCTCCGGGGACCTCGGTGCGTTCTCTAGGTTCCCCTCTGCATACCACATGGGATCAGGTAGCCTTGGGTCCTGGTCCTGACTCTCTGGGCATCTGTCAGGGCAGTGTAAAATGGGCAGGTCGGTCCTGCTGCAGGGCCTGAGATGGCCCAAGAGGCAGGCAGGGCAAGATCTCAGATCCTGTAAACTACAGAAACTTGCACAGAATTCCCTGGCAGGAGCGGCCGAAAGGAGGGTGTGACGCAGAGTGCAAACAGCTGGAAATCACTGGAAAGAGAGCCTGCCATACAAGGCATTGGGGCCCAGCCCGTGGAGAAGAGCACGGGCTATCCAGATGCTGCAGACGCCGCTCCCAGGGTCTGTATGCCTCCCAAGAATACAAGGGGCCTCCAGCCGGGCTCTGTGGCTCACGCCTGTAACACCAGCTGCTCAGAAGGCTGAGATCTAAGGATCCTGGTTCAAAGCCAGCCCAGACAGGAAGGTCTGTGAAGATCTTCAATGAACCACCAAAAGAAAACCTCAGAAAGTGGAGCTGTGGCTCAAGTGGTAGAGTGCCAGCCTTGAGTGACAAAAGCCAAGCAAGAAAGGAACACAAGGCCCTGAGGGGAGGAAGGAGGAGGGAGGAGGGAGAAGGAAGAGGAGGGGGAGGAAGAAAGGGAGGGGAGGAGGGGAAGGGGGCAGGGGAGGAGGGGGAGGAGGCGGCCCCATGATGCTGGGCTCTAGGATGGATGGGCAGGTGGCTGTCCTGAGGGACTGCAGTTCACCGTGGGTCACTGCCTGGAGCCAGCATGCAGCGTGGTACCATTTCCGCCCTTCCCCACTCCCGGGTGTCTGTCGGGTGTGACTAAGACTTTCCCTACGCCACAGCCACAGCCAATTCCTGCAGGAGAAGCGGCCAGAGAAATTTTTTTTTTTTTCCAAAACGGAGGGGAAAAAAAAAAAAAAACCTCAAAAATATTCAAACTAAATAAACCTGACATGATTTCGACATCTCTGGCTTGAATCCTGCTGTAGATGCAAAGCTGTGATGTCATGCTCACCCAAAGCAGTAACAATGGGCCGGCATGGCTGGAGGCTGACCCAATGTTCTTCTCCTGCCCTGGCCTTTTTCACAGGAAAGAGAGGTATGGGCTGGGAGGGGCAGAGGGGGGGGGCAGCACCAGCCCCTTCCCTTCCAGAGAAGGCCAGCTCATTCACCAGCAAGCCTGGAGATCATCGCATCAGACTCTCCTGGAAATCACTGCTGCCAGATCCCACTAAGCCCATTGTGCAGATGGGGAAACTGAGGCCGCCAAGGCCTCATTTTCATTTTGCCCAGGCCAGGTGGCTCATGCCTAGAATCCCAGCTGGAGGGTGAGATCTGAGGATGGCAGGTTTAGAGTCTACCCAGGCAGGGAAGTCTGGGATACTCTTACCTCCACTGAACCACGAAAAAGCCCGAAGTGGAGGTATAGCGTAAGTGGTAGAGTACCAGCCTTGATTGAAACAGTTCAAGCCCCAGTACTAGCATTAAAACACACACACACATACACACACACACACACACACACACCACAAAATACAAAAAACAGGACTGGGAAGGTAGGTGAGTGGTAAGAGTGCTTGCCTAGCATGCATGAAACCCTGGGTTCGATTCCTCAGTACCACATACACAGAAAAAGCTGGAAGTGGCGCTGTGGCTCAAGTGGTAGAACATTAGCCTTGAGCTGAAGAGCTCAGGGACAGTGCCGAGGCCCAGAGTTCAAGCCCCAGGACCGGGGGAGGGGGGGGCGGCAGGGGTTGGAAGTGTGACTCAGTTGGTAGAGCACTAGCCAATGAGTGAAAGCAGCAGGTACTGAGTTCGAGTCTCAGTCTTGGAATGAAAAAACAAACATGGAAAGTGAGCAGACAAGCATGCAAAAAGGGGGCATCATGGGGTAAGCACTGTTTGCAGCTGGCGTTATCCGCATAGCTCATCCTGGATCGCTTGCTGCTTTCCTACTCGAGGATCTGCCACGGGAGGCATGGCGTCTTGCTGTTTGTGATACTCACATTCGCAGTGCAAATTGGGTAAACTGATGTTCAGGCTGACATCAATTTTCCCTCCGCTGTTCTTATCTGGGTCATCAACATACAGCTCGTTCACCCTGGGGGACAGACAGAAGCCTTTATGAAGATAGAGGCACCGATCTTGGGGACACCAGACCCCCCCCCCCCAGCACGGGCCCCTGAGAGGCCCGGATCTCAGCCGATCCTGAGAGGAGCAGATAGGGGAAAGTATCTCTTCTGAGGTCAGACTGATTCAAGTTCAAATCCTGGATCTGATACGCTCTAGGGTCACTTTCTCTGCATGGATGGGGAGGAGAAATACCTTACTCATTACTAATGGAGAGGGGGGCGTGTTGAATATTAAAATAAGAAATGGAGCCAGGCACCAGTAATTCAGGGATAGCTCCCAACCCTTCAGAGGAAGAGGGGGGGAAATGACAATACCACTAGGGCTCAGGGCCTAGCACCACATGCACACATCCCTCTCTTTCCATGTCTCCACCCATCTGAAAAGGCAGGAAGTCAAAGACCTAGCGTAGCTTCTGGTTGGCAACACTACCAGATGACTGTATCAGCATCTGGGAGCTGCTGTAGCAAGTGAGCACAATGTTACTGGCGTAAAACAACCAAAATGAGTTTGAACCAGGCCCTGGTGGCTCCTGCCTGTCATCTAGCTACTCAGGAGTCTGAGATCTGAGGATCACTGTTCAAAGCCAGCCCAGGCAGGAAAGTCCCTGAGACTCTTATCTCCAGCGAACCACCAAAAAGCTGGAAGTCATGCACATACACAGAAAAAGCTGGAAGTGGCGCTGTGGCTCAAGTTGGTAGGGCGCTAGCCTTGAGCAAAAAGAGCTCAGGGACAGCACCCAGGCCCTGAGTTCAAACTCCAGGACTGGCGTGAAACAAGAAAAAGCAAGCACCAGGAAGGATCTGAAGTGTTTAGTACATCTCTAGCCTGAATCACCAAGCTATTAATGTGGGGTTTGTTCTAATCCTCAGATGACAGAAATTGCTTTGGAGGCAAGGACTCTCTACTATGATCGGCCAATGCTGTGTCAGATCTGAAGAGCAAAGTGACCAATACGCAGCCTTCCTATAGCTCTCAATTCACACACATAAAGGGGCGGGGGGGGGGGGGGGAAACATAGGCAGAGATAGGGAATCAGACCATCCAAGGAGTCTCACAGGGCTGTGGTTCAAGAGGTAGAGCATCAACCTTTGAGCAAAAAGTCAAGGAATGGTGCAAGGCCCTAAGTTCGAGTCTCAGGATCACCACCCACACAAAAAATGATCTTATACTTGCCTAACGCTTTCCCTCTCTGACCTCCCGCCTTCCTGATGGAGGAATTCTCTTCAATAAATCACCAACAAGCTGCAAGTGGCACTGTGGCTTAAAGTGGTAGAACGCTAGCCTGGAGCAAAAACAGCTCAGAGACAGAGCCCAGGCTCTGAGTTCAACAAACAAACCAGTGGATCTATGTTTAGAGAAAATATCTTTTTTCAAAAAATTTTTTTGCCAGTCCTGGGGCTTGAACTCAGGGCCTACGCACTGTCCCTGAGCTTCTTTTGCTCAAGGCTAGCACTCTACCACTTGAGCCACAGCGCCACTTCCAGCTTTTTCTTTTTCCTTTTGCTAAATTTTTTGTGCGCTATTTTTTTCTATCTTATAATGTCTTCCTATTTTTTTCTTTTTTCTTTTATTGTGAAAATACCATACAGAGGGGTTACAATTACATGGACAAGATAATGAGTACATTTCTTTTTTTTGGTCCGGTCGTGGGGCCTGAACTCTGGGCCTGGGCGCTGTCCCTCAGCTCTTCAGCTCAAGGCTAGTGCTCTACCACTTGAGCCACAGCGCCACTTCTGGCTTTTTTCTTTTTGCTTATGTGGTGCTGAGGACTCGAACCCAGGGCCTCATGCATGCAAGGCAAGTGCTCTACCACTGAGCCACCTTCCCAGTCCAATGAGTACATTTCTTATCAAGCATTGTTGTTGTTGACTCCTCCTTTGTTTCCCCTTCCCCTTCCCATTCCCCCGCCCCCCGCCCAAAGTTGTAAAGTTCATTTTTCGATTTAATGTCTTTTACATCTCACTGTTGCAATGGGTCCACCTGTATCCCTATTTAAACGATTTGTTTTTTCCCTTCCCCTCCACAAATTATACCAACATCAAATACAGTGAAAGCAGGGGTTATACCATGGGGGACGGACATACAAAGCAACAAAGAAATCATCTTACAAGTATGTTAGAAACAATTGCATTTAAAGCAAAAACATTTGAATACTTATCTTGAGGTTCATTTCACCTAACATCTGACCTTTTCTGCTTGTCTCAGACATATACTAGTTATTCCAAGTAAGGGAAACCATGGGACCTATGTTTCTTTGGGCTTGGCTTACTTCACTTCATATAATTTTTTCCAAGTCTTTCCATTTCCTAACAAATGGAACAATGTCATTCTTTCTGATGGAGGCATAGAATTCCATTGTGTATGCATACCACATTTTCTTGATCCATTCATCTACTGAGGGGCATCTGGGTTGGTTCCATATCTTAGCTATGGTAAATAATGACTTCCAACTTTTTCTCTGTGTGTGGTACTGAGGAATCAAACCTAGGGCTTCATGACTTCTAGGCAAGCACTCCACATTCCCAGCTGAGAGTACTTTTATTCTTAAGATCACATAGTAGGGAATGGCTGAGCATTATCAAATCTCCACTCAGGACTGCTGTGTGTGTGTGTGTGTGTGTGTGTGTGTGTGTGTGTGTGTGTGTGTGTGTGTGTGTGTGTGTGTGTGTGTGTGTGTGTGTGTGTGTGTGTGTGTGTGTGTGTGTGTGTGTGTGTGTGTGTGTGTGTGTGTGTGTGTGTGTGTGTGTGTGTGTGTGTGTGTGTGTGTGTGTTGGTTCTAGGGCTTGAACTCAGCACCTGAGCACCATCCCTGGTCTTTTCCACTCAAGACTAGCTCTACCACTTGAACCACAATTCTACTTCCAGCTTTTTACTGGTTCATTGGAGATAAGAGCCTCATGGACTTTCCTGCCCGGGCTGGCTTTGAACCGTGATCCTCAGATCTCAGCCTCCTGAGTAGCTGGAATGACAGGTGTGAGCCACTGGTGCCCGGCTTGTACTCCTACGTCTGCTTTTAGTAAACTTGCTGCTTTACGACACTTTACGACTCCTTAGCTTCTGAATACTTTACCTGGCTGAGCGATGTCCAGGCACCCCAAGAATGTACCTGGGAGGGATACCTGCAATCTCAGCAGTCTCACATGCCCCAGAACAGAGCAAACAGAGAGGCCCTGAGGAGGGAGAAGGGTCACAAGAGGTGACGCTGAGGACAATGGCTTGCTGAGGGCCAGGTACAAGCCTCCTCCTTCACCGCAGCCTGACTTCTGTGTGGAGGCCTGATGAGTAATGGGCTTACAGGGTGAGTCCCGCCCTGGCCACCGCTGGCCTATCCCTTCCCGGAGAGTGACACTCTTCCTGCAGCTGCTCACCTTTCCTACCTGGTGCAGCTGGGGCCCTGTGCGCGTCATTGGATGACGTCATCCCCTGGCAAGCCTGGCAGGTGACCTCAGTGCACAGCCAGGTGAACCCCAGGTGGGGCCTGGGATGAGCTCACACCCCACCCTGGGGCACAGGAGAACAAGATGGCCAGCTGCCCGGAGCTGAGGGGGTCACCCGGAGAACCACAGTGCCAAGGGGGGGGGGGGCTGGATGGCAGAATGGGTCAAGCCAGCCCAGCAGCTCTGGGCGGGGGTTTGGTTATGTAACCCCAGGACTAGCGGCTTGCTCCGGGCTCCTTCCTGGAGGGCCAGGGCTGCGGGATGAATCAGGTTCCATCACCAGATGAGGTCAATTCGGCACTTTCCACATCCAAAGCAAATGTTCCAAGCCCCGCTGGGCCTTCTGCCAGTCCAGCCAGGCGCAGGCCTTGCCAAAACGCTCAACTGGCTTTCTTGGCTAGGGCTGGGCCGGTTCGGTTGTCAGAAATCAGCCCCGCTGGAAAGAAAATAAATGCTTTTTTTTTTTTTTTTGGTAGCTTTGCTGTGGTTCTGGAATTCTCCATGACCTGGCAGCTCCTCTTGCCAGGGCAGCCGATGAGCAAGCCCACTGGGGTGTGGGCAGGCGGCTGGGACGAGTGGCTTCGCCTCTCTGAGCCTCAGTTTCCTCCTCTGCACTGAAGGAGCCAAACAGTCTAATAGCAATGAAAGTCACAACAGGGTGGCGGAGGAGTGAAGGACTGGGGACAGAGCAGAACCTTCGAGAGAATGTAGAATAGTATATGTTTTGTCCCCAGTAATGGCTCAATGGGTACAAATAGGTGATCGGTCACTGGCTGGAGCCTTTCAGACCTGTGCACTTTGCAGAGTCCGAGTTATAAAAGGAAAGAGAAAATGAGGAGGGGAGGGGAAAGGCAAGCCAAAGAGGAAACAAGGTACGAATGCACCAGTAGTTGATGCCTGTGATCCTAGCTAACCAGGAGACTGACATCTGAAGATCTGGGTTCAAATCCAGCACAGGCAGGCAAGTCTGTGAGTCTCTTATCTCCAATGAACCACCAAAAAGTCTGAAGTGGAGCTGTGGCTCAAATGGTAGAGCACCAGCCTTGAGCCAGAAAAAAAAACAGTAAGGGGCAGAGCCCAGGCCCCAAGTTCAAATCCCACTACTGGACGGACACACACACACACACACACACACACACACACCCCTTTATTGACTGAGTTGAAACAGCCTGAGTTGGAAAACAGATGTTGAGGCTGTTGCTTGTGACATCTACTTAAACACATTCACCAAGATACTCAGGGGGAGCCGGGCACTGGTGGCTCACGCCTGTCATCCTAGCTACTCAGGAGGCTGAGATCTGAGGATCGTGGTTCAAAGCCAGCCTGGGCAGGAAAGTCTGTGAGACCCTTATCTCCAATGAACCACCAGAAAACTGGAAGTGGCGCTGTGGCTCAAGTGGTAAAGCTCTTGCCTTGAGCTGAAGAGCTGAGGGACAGCGTCCAGGCCCAGAGTTCAGGCCCGATGCCCAACAACAACGACAAAAAGATACTCAGGGGGTCCCCTCACTCTATTCTCCACCCACCCCCCAAA